GTTGCTGGCCTCTTCAGTCAAGAATTTTAGATGTCCTCAAGTCGGTGGTTTGGTTGTCCTTGTTGACCTGGCTAGTGGGCGGTGTCACTGGCGATGGGCTTCCCGAAGTGTCAGCGTGTTGAATGGCTGGATCATGGGTCCATCAGGGCTGTGCTTGAGGGTGGTGTGGGCGTCTGGGGAGGAGCCAGCTGTGCCCTCTGTGTTGGCTGATATGGATGATACTGGGGAGGAGTGCCGGGGTCCAACCCCAGCAGGTCCAGGGGTCCCCAAAGGTGTAGACGGAGTCGGCGAAGAAGGAAGGACACGGAGACAGTGTTCAGTTGATCAGCAGCCTAGCCAGGATCTCCAGCCAGGATCTCCAGCCAAGTTCTGGTCTGGATCTCCAGCGAAGTTCTGCTGTTTATTGTCTTGTTACATCCGTATTTATCCCAGTTGATTTTAATCCTGTCAATTTCTATTACAAAGGTTAGGGCGTTTCTTATCTCCATTCCAGGGAGTAAAGATTATGTAGCTTAAGCATGATTGTTTGTAGTGATTAACTACCCGCCTGGCACTTAGTTAAGGAGTTTCATCCCCTCCCTGACTTCAGGGAAAAATTCCTACCTGGGGAAACAACCTTTCTAGGAGAGGCATCCCCTCCCTGACTTCAGGGAAAAATTCCTACCTGGGGAAACAACCTTTCTTGGAGAGGTGACCTTGGTTAAAACACACAGCGCTAAGGGGAGCAAACATATTAAGAACAGTATGCTATATACGCCAGGTCCCTTGAAACATATGCTGTGCAGATGTTTCTTTCCTGCAGCGACTGTGTCAAGCAGCAAGGATGGACCGGCTTCTGGCAGAGGAGGATGAGGCGGAGATGGAGGGTAGTAGAGATAACAAGAAGAGAAAGCAAAAGAACTACAAGGCATGGAAGTGTTTAGAAAAAAGAGGGAGAAGAAAAGGAAGAAAACAGCATCCTGACAGAGCCCTTTCCTTCAGCTGCCCCTTTCCCTGTGGTCCAAGGTAGAAATGGGAAACAAGTCCTGTTGCAGTGAGAGGGCAGCTGCTTCAGCCAGTCTCTCTCTTTACCTGGGTCCCGAGCTGAGCTGGGCGTGGGAAGCGAAGCAGCCATGGGGGCAGGAGACCTCCCTCATAAGGGGTGAGGGTTCAGGCCTCTGCAAAGTTGGGGGGGTGAGGGTCTGTGCCCCACCTCTGTTGACCCCCAAGTTGTCTCCTGATGGCCCCCTCTGCGACTGTGCCTGTCTTAGGTTGTTCATTCCCTGAGGAATCTTACCCGTCTCTGGCTAACCAGCCATCCTCCGGGGCCAAGCAGGGTGATGTGAGGTGTGCGAATGAGGGAGGAGCAGCGCCCCACTGCAAGAGGTTCAGTTCTGTCTCCTTGGTAGCCGATGCCCCTGTGGCCTCCACGCCCAGCACCTGCCTTGGGCTCCCCTCACCCGCAAATGGACTGTGAGAAGAGGGTCCGTCTTGACACAAGGGCAAGAGGGGCCAATACAGGACAAGGGAGGAACGGCCTGTCAGCATGTAGTCCCGGGACAGGGCTTTCTCAGCCCAGGATGTCAGGCTCTTGGCACAAGACAACTCCACGTATGGGGCATATACCAGACATACCCAGTCATGGCAGAAAAGGGAGGTGCCCTTCCTGGAACAATAAGGCAGAGAGATTCTAGAAAAAGCTGTGTTCAGGAGAGAAAGAGAAAGGCCAAAGAACCAGCAAACAAGTAGTCAGATTAAAAAAAAAAAAAAAGAAAAAGGAAAGGAGATGTGGGGCAAAGCTGGGACATAAGGACAGACAAAAGGAGGCACATTTGATCCTCCCAATGGACAGCAGGGCTGCACATCTGCTGCAGACGGGCACTGGTCAAGTGTGCTAACTCAGCCTCCCAGGGTGACGGTCCCCAGGAGGGAGGCAGAGGCTGCTCCTTCTGGAAAGATACAAAACACAACCTCTCCCCCACATCATTACTAGATCTGGTAAAACTCTTGTCTGGTTTGTGTATCCTTCTACCAGGCTGAGTCAGCAGAGGCTATTGTACAGGAGGCCCGATGCCTTTTGGCTGCTGTACAACCCTCTGCATTTTATTTTCAAAAAAATTTAACATATAACATTCTTCTCCCCCTTGTTTTTATAGAAAAGGTTTATATTGATGGAATTGTCAGTTTTTCTTTTTGTGTCAAGAGCTAACTTTGATGTGTTAAAACTAAATAAACTGCATTTACTCAATCCAAAGCAGGCATTAAAAAGAAAAACCCTAAGTGCTCTCTTGTATCCATTTTAAGAGTAGGATTGGCACTTTCCTCTATTACCTGAGTCCTGATCTATCACCCCAGGGACAGCTTGCCAATCCTTTACTTTCCCAGGGTGGAAAGGCTGCAGTGGGGTTAAGGATAAGGCTCCTTGGGCTTACCTTCTCCCATGCCTTTACATTTACCTTTCCTTCCTCAGAAAAGCATGGCCATACTTCTTGTATAAAACGTTCTGTCTGACTGGGAGTAACCTTAATTCCTCTGCTAGCAAGCATATGTGTTAAAAGTTCAATACGGAGTCTTTTTTTTCTTTAGACTCAGTATGGCACATCTTCTCAATCTAAAGATCAATACAGAGTCTTCTTTCTTTGGACTCAGTATGGCACATCTTCTCAATCTAAGTTCTGTACTATCCACCTTCTTACCCTACTTATCCTCTATAGGGGGGTCTTCAGCACCCTGGTGGAGTACTATCCGTCCTGAGTGTGGGGGTTCTCAATGGGGGGGGGGGGGGAATACCTAGCTGAATCCTGTTCGGGAGCCATCTGTTGGGGTCCTGCCCCAGCAGGTCCACAGATTCCCAAAGGTGTGGATGGAGTTGGCGAAGAAGGAATGACACGGAAACAGTGTTCAGTTGCTCAGCATAGCGAGATTCTCCTGCCAGGTTCTCCAGCCAAGTTCTGTCTTTTTATTTTATTTTTTATTTTTTTGCAAAACACCAAATCTATATATACATCCACATATAATAACATCACTTTAAGCTGAAATATATCATAAATAAAACAAGTAACATCTACTGTTTGACAACTTAAGTATCAACAATTAAAATAAATAAAACTGGAATGAAATAAATACATGAACAAAAATCCAACAGATTGTACCTCTATTATATGTACTGTTGTCCCAAAGGAAAAAACAAAACAAAACCAGTAGTATTCCAATAGTTAATACTGATGGACAAAAATAATAACAACATATTTTGGAATACAAAGGCTGTGAAAAAGAAAAAAAACACTGGTATTTTTATACTTTTAGAAATGTGGTTAGGTAGGAGAAATATGAAAACACCCATAATTTCAGCATAACATGAACTGACTTGTTTTCACATAGGTTTGGTGATTTTTTAAAATAAAGATTTAAGTTTCAGCCCTCAACTATGATGTATCCCCTTTAAGATTTACACTTATAGTCAGAGCAAGCTTTCTGTAACACTCATCAGATTAGCAATGACCAAGTCAATCATCTTCACAAATGTGTTAATCTTCAAAAATAGGCTATAAAAGTGCAAAACTATGGAAACAAAAATCTAGATTATGTACATATGGCTCAGCGTGTGAGCAGGAAAAGGGGTTAATAGTGTACGCTTTCCTAATACGAAGCACTTCGCTGCAAGGCCAGCAGCGTGATCTCAGGCCGGTCTCCCTGTCACACGGGAGTTAAGACTTCTCGTTCATGTTGCATAATGAAAACAAAACAAACCAAAAAAAAAAAAATCAAGATTCTTTTAGGACTTTACCCTGAAGACAAGAAACATTAACAATGCAAAATTATTTTTCAAACAGTTTTCTGAGTAAAATGTTAAACCCAGGGGTTGCTGGAGAACTCAGCTACAAACTGCAAATTAAGGGGCAGGAATTTAAAACATCCAGTTGGCCAACTGGTGGATCTATTCTCTTTAAAACCCAAATTGCATGTGTACTGAGAAAACGCTGTTGCTTTAAAATCAAAAATGGGAAGACAACCAAAGTCTAGAAGCAGGCCACTTCTTCCCCGGTTACCAGAAGGCTCGGGCCAGAAGTTCTTATTCAGAACCAATGTGTCTGAATATGCCCACTGTTGACCCCAATGCAGACGCACTGACTTCCAATACAAACCTAAAAATTTCCCCCAAACTTTAATTTCCTTGAAAATTGCTTCCAATATCTGTATCATGTATAATTTAGCATTTAATTTTGTATCTACAAATTTAAGCACACACCTAAAAAAACTGAATTTTCCAACAAAAATGATTCATTTGAGAGGAAACTAGTTTGAGTAGCTCCACATACACTTTGGTGGGTGTGCTGGCAGCTGGCTGCTCGGAGAGGAAGCGCTGCCCTACAGACACCCACTCCTCAGGGGGACCATGGAGCGCCTCCTCCTCGGTGACACCGTGGCATTTGTGACAAAAGGGCACCAAATCGGAGTAGCTGACCTCGACATACGCAGCAATACTCACAGAGGGTCAATACTTCCATTAACAAATTTTAAGACAACAGACTGCGGACAATTTAACATAATATAAATCATCAAAAAATTTTTTAAAACGTACATCTTAAATGAAAGAGCACAAATAGCAGGAACTGCTCAGAGTGAGGAGCTACATGAGGAAAAGGATGCACAGGGTACTGAAACAAGCAGGTACAACTTATATATGCACAGATTTTACCTGAGGTGCAAGCATTATATACTTTCTCCCCACCCACCCCTAGCCCAAATGATTCTTTTCAGCAGTGCTCGAGTATGCAAAAACTCTGCTTATTTGGTCAATTCTAATATATATATATATTATTCAGGGACAAAATAGATTTCCCGTCTCCATTTGTACACAACTCAACTGTTCCAGCTATAGTTTTTATTGCTATTTGGTACAAAAGTTAACAGAACCACTTTGCAGCACGTGGTGTTCCTTGCGCGTATGTACAGTGCAGTCACAGCCTATTTCAGTAGCTTTCACCGCTCGCTTTCTCCAAGGATGAACTGACTCAACTTTATGGAGCACACATCCATCCATCAAGACCTTTCTTCCCCAAAATAGGAAATGAAGTTTTCTTGTCCTTTGGCCGAGAATGTGCATTCCCAATAAAATTCTCAGTTTCTCTTCTGAAGCATGCTGCGAGATCAGTGTTGCTAAGACACGGGCCTTTCTCCTTCCAGCGCCGCGCGGGGCGCAGGTGTAGAGGCCCGGGCCGCCGTGGGCTAGTGTAAGGTCAGCACATCGGCGGACTCCATCTCGCCTGATGCCAGGAACCCCGGCTTGGAGGGCAGCACCTTCAACGGCGGGAACGCGTACTTCTGGGGCAGCAACCCTGTGGTTCCGGGGTCCACCAGGTACTTGGGCAGGTCAAGGACCCTTCGGTCCTGGGGCCCAGGCTGCTCCGCATCCAGGACCACGGGCCCGGCTTTCGGCCTCTTGGGAAGCGGCTCTCCGAGCTCCAGGCCGGCAACACCTGCGCTGCGGCCACAGAAGTAGTCTCTTCCCGGGGGCGCACACAGGCCTTCGTGCTTGGCTGTGAAATCGGCCGAGCCATGGATGGTGCTGCTGCTCGAGGGCTGGGACACGGAGACCACCGGGGCTTTGAACTTCGTCTCTGGCCTTTTGGTCTTCTCCGGGGCAGGAGAAACTCCGCTTTTAGCAAACATCTCCGAGGGCTGCTGCCTGGCGGCTGGAGCCCCCTGCGCCCCGATGCTGGGCTGTGGCCTGTGCGACTCCAGGTTACTGGGGGCTGAAGTGCTAGAGTCAGTCCCTGAGGCCAGAGGGGTCTTGCCTGGGCCTGCGGGGCCCGGCTTCCCCTTCTCGGATGGCAGGGTCTTGGACTGGGCTGGGAAGGTGGTCTTGGGCTTGGGGAAACTGGACAAGGAAGGCACGTCTTCTCCCACTAGAGCTGGTGGACAGCTAGTGGGTCTGTTTCTAAGCCAAGACTTGTTTCTACAGTTTTTGTGACCGTCGGGATTGTATTTATGCTCCAGTCTCTGATGCATCATTAAAACTTCTGGATAAAAGGTCTTGAAAGTACAAAATGGGCAGGTGATACTTGGGATTAAACTCTTGCTCAAAGAAATTGCCGGGCAACTGTGAAGCGCCCCGAGGGTTAAATTTAAAGGTTTCTCTTGACAGTCCATGCTGGGCTTCACTCTGCTGTCTGCTGCCACCTCTGCCTTCTCTTTGAGGCCAGCCTCGTCCTTGTGGGCGGCAGTGGCGTCTGGGTGAGGATGAGGCGGAGCAGCCACGTCTGCTCTGCGAGGGAGGTTGATGGCCTGAGCTTCGGGCGCTGGTCTGTTCTTTAACATGTCCAAATAAGCAGGGGCAGGGTGTCTGCCTAGCTGATCAGCACTACCTTCAGTTCCAGTTTTATTGAAATCCTGAGTATCTTTGTGTACTGGCAAGAGGACAGTGCTGCCCAGAACGTTCTGAAAGGCAGGGGCCATCCCCTTAGGTTGCTTGGCAGGTGGGCTGCCTTTCACATCTCTGGCACCATCGAAAAATCTTTTCAAATTTCTGGTTTGCGCACTGTCGGCGATGAGTAGTACATCTTCCGCTTCCTGGTTTTTCCCTTTGCTCTTGACCTCAGCGGCCACATCGACCTGCTTATCTTTGTGGTGTCTCTCCAAGTGATACTGTAGAGAGGTCTTCTGGGCTGCAGCGTAGTCACAAAATTCACATTTGTATGGTTTTTCATCCGTATGTGCTCTGAGATGAATATTGAGGTAGTAATTTGAACGGAAAAGCTTTCCACAGTAACTACATTCTCTTGAAGATGTCAGATGCTTTATTTCGCCTCCATCATCATTTTGATCCAGATGGAGGCTTTCGGGAAGTCCGTCTGCGGATCCATCTTCAGAGCCTCCTTCTCGATCTGTGGCTCCGTTTTCATCCAGGGTGCTGGCTAGGTCTGGAGAGCACATCCTCAGCTGCCGGCCGTCCACAGACATGGTGGGCGAGTCAGCATCTGTCCTCCGGTCCTTCTTGTGGACTCTCGAGTGCAGGACCAGCTGGCGGTAGGTTCTGAACACCTTGCCACACTCAGAGCAATGCGTGGACTTCTTACTCTTACTGGACAACTTGGGGTCCGCGTCCCCAGAAGGCACTTCACCGTTGGCATGTCTAGGCTTCTCCTTATCTTGTGCTAGGCCTGTACAACCGCTCTTATTGGATATGGACTTTGCAGAACCTTCGGGATGGCTTTTACTCCCGTTCCAGACTTCTCCAAGCTTTTCTTTGTCCGAATCATCGTTGTCGGTGCTCCCTTCCTGCCTGGGCTGCTCCTTCGCCTCCCGGCAGATGGCGATTTTGCCCGTGGTGGCCAGCTGCCAGGCCTGGTAGGTGGTGACTGGGTCGAGCTGAGGTATCCATCCGGTGGGCTGCTTCACGGTTTCAGGCTGAGCTTTGGGTCTGAGGTTTAAGAACTGCAGGAACTCGTCTCTCGGGGCTGGCATCCCCGCCTGCTGAGAGTCTGCCTGGGGACTGCTGTCACCGGAAGCCGTGTCTTTGGTGTGCATCTTCCTGTGATCAATGAGACTTTCTATATTTGGAAATAGGAAGCCACAAACCATGCACATCTTGAAAGGAGAGGAGATGCTCTCTGCAGCCTGCTCCTGGACAACCTCGTTGATGGTGACCGGGCTTTCCAAGCCCTGCTGCAGCTTGCTCTTGGCCCCCAACTTGCCGTTGTGTGTTCGCATGTGGCTCTTCAGAAACCAGGGCACCTTGAACCTCCGTCCACACACGTGACACCCATAGGTGAAAGAGTCCTTGTGTTTCTTCATGTGGATCGCCAGGTCAAACGCAACTCTGAACGTCTGCCCACACACTTCACAGCTCAGGTCTTCATTCTCTTTGCCACTCTTGTTCTTGGGGGGTTCTGTTCGCACCTGGCCTTTATCCAGAGGGCTGAGATACTCTGCTTCCACACACAGAACTGCGGGCTCACAGAGGATGGGCCGGTGCTGCAGCAGCACGTGCTTACTGAGGTCTTCAGAGTGGGTGAAGGTCTGCCTGCAGAACATGCAGTCCAAGGGCGTGTAGCCTTCGATTTGGATGATGCTCTTCTCTTGCGTGGCTCTGAAAGGAGCAGTGGTGGTCCCTTTTACTGACATGGCATCATCTAGCTCCATCTGGCTGCCAAGAGAATTGCTAATAACTTCCGGTCCATCCATATACACTAAGAGGGATTGAGTTGGTATGTTTCCTGTCACTTCAGGACTGTGTATAAAATAAGAATCTGGCTGAGGAATTTCTGGACTTGGAATAAGACCACTTGTAATACTTGTCACTCACACCCCCAGCAGTCCTGGACTTCAAAACTAGAGCAAATATTTGTTATAAAAGTTCAAAAGAAAATGTATATTCTTCTAACTTCTTATCTTCAGAAGTCTTAGGAAGCTCAATGACAGAGTATCACTGGTTCTTTCCTCGATGCTTTGATTCAGCACAAAGCATTACTTCTCTTTGTCTCCACTGAGAGGGAATGAGTCGGTTGAGCAAGTCAATTCCAGCAATCTGGAGACAAGATTTCCAAAACTTTCGGAAGTGGAGGCAGTGTCTGGAACCTGGAGACTCTTGCTCTCTGAGCCTGCGACAGTCCACCTGGCTCGGAACAATCCTGGAAGAGAAGTGATTGCTTCTCAAACCAAAAAGGCCAAGTTCTGTCTTGTTACATCTGTATTTATACCAGTTGATTTTAATCCTATAAATTCTATTCCAAAGGTTAGGGCGTTTCTTATCTCCATTCCAAGGTTACTCTATTGTTCTATTAAGCTACAAGGAAGTAACTGAAGGAGATTATCCTAAGTAAAGATTATGTAGCTTAAGCGTGATTGTTCATGGTTAAAGTGATTAATTACCCACCTGGCACTTAGTTAAGGTGTTTTATTCCCTCCCTAACTTCAGGGAAAAATCCCTACCTGGGGAAACAACCTTTCTCGGAGAGTTGACCTTGGTCAAAACTCATAGCTCTAAGAAGAGGAGCAAACATATTAAGAACAGTATGCCATATATGCCAGGTCCCTTGAAACATATGCTGTGCAGATGTTTCTTCCCTGCATCGACTGTGTCAAGCAGCAAGGATGGACCGGCTTCTGGCACTGTATACTTTATGGTTAGTCATGCAGCTACCATGATTCTGTCTTAGCTGTAGCCGGACAATGAGCTCAGAAGGAAAGACCTCATCTTTTCTCCTTTGTGCTAGTTCTGGCTGACGTTATTTTGGCTTTGCTTTCAAAGTATCCCTTTCTTGGATTATGGCTCTTCAGCCATTTGGGAAAGAACATGGGAATAATCTGAGGAGATTATTAAATTCTACTTTAGAGGTTGGTCCCATGTCTCAGTAGAAATTGGAATACTTCTCAGAGTACATATAGGAAAAAGTTAAAACAGAAGCTTTTTAGGCACTGAATATGAGCTTAGTATTTGCATGGGTTTCTGTTCTTTTATTATATTTTCCTTATGAAGAAACATCAATCAGCAATCACTCTTTGGAAAAATATATTTTTATTGATTTCATAGAGGAAGAGAGAGATGGACACATCAATGATGAGAGAAAATCATTGATTAGCTGCCTCCTGCATATGCCACACTAGGGATTGAGTCCACTACCCAGGCATGCGCCCTGACCGGGAATCGAACCATGACCTCCTGGTTCATAGGTTGATGCTCAACCACTGAGAAACCCCGGCTGGGCAATCAGCAATAACTTGTTTATTACCTCTACCCTCTCTGTCATTTCTTAAAGAAAAAAATACTTTCTTATTGATGGTTTGAGATCCAGACATGGGCATGCATATTTAGTCCATTTCCTTTCTTCCTCTGTTATAGATGAATGTAAAGAGTATACAGTTTTTGATCATATAGTTAATTAAAAAGTAAAAGTCCCAGCCCTCTAGATATATCTGTCATTATCCATGGTTGCCTATGGGATTTCGGTACCATGAATCTCATTGATGCCACATATTTATAAAACATCCTTTGATTCTGTGCTTTCCATAAGAAAACTTCTATTTGCATTTACTTTTATCTAAATCCTGAGTGTATCTCAATTGGTTCCAAATTTGGTGGGGAATAAGTTTGACATTTATTGGGCTGTTTCAAATCTAAGCTATATATTTTATATTTTAAAAAAGAGTTTTGTACTTGAAGTTGGACTTAAATGAATTTCAGTTGACCTGGCTCTGATCTGGGAGTAAATGCTCATTAGAATGAATTTACATGAAGGAAGGAGGAGGAATAACATTAAGAATCCTTGTTTGAAATAGCTCAAATGAATTGGATTAAGGTGTGAGAAAATGAGTAAAAGAGAGTTTATTTTCATATTAACTACCATCGTCCATCAATTTCAATAAGTACAAGCATTAACTTTTCCCCTGTACGCCATCTGCAATCTTCCTTGTTCTGAAACATGACAAAAAACCATGGCACTGCCATCACTTAATTTATTGGATTTGTCCAGAAATTTTCTTTTTTTCTGATTTAACATCTGGTGTCCAAAGAACTTTGTATCCCACTCATTTGAGAGGTTTTCACTGTACTAAGTGCCACAGGTTGAATCATCATTTGAGATAGGTAAAAATAAAGTGTTACAACCTTGAAAACTTTGGGTACTGTGTTGGTGGCAACAGGGAACTCTCCAGCAGCTTTTCATCTGGCTTCTTTTTAGACTTACAGTATTTGTGTCCCTCATACAGGAAGCTAATGGGATGAGGTAGGTAAACCAACCACGCCTGAAGAAATAATATTATAACAACTTAAATGATGCAATTTGCTCATTATTTCCACTCAGGGAAGAAGGCATGGTATATTTTTCCAGTTATCTAGATGAGGAAGATATACCTGGAACTGTGAATCAGATATAGTAGGTTTCAAATTTTGGCTTCATAACTTGCTAGCAATGTGAATATTAGTGAGTTACTCTATCTTTATTTATAAAATGTTTGAACAGTTAAATTAAATATAGGCATTAAAGCTGTTAGCACAGTGTAGCAATTAATAATAAATTACGAAATAGTAGCTATTTTAAATCCCACATTTTCTCTCGCTTTTAAGTTGAACACCAAGTCTTAATCATTTAAATATTTTAGAATTTCTGGGTTTTTGACTGTATTTATAAATATTCATGTAATTTAACTTTTAAACCCTGAGCCATATGTTTCCCTATGTAATGACAAAGATATGCCAACCCCATTCATCAAAAGTGGTTAGGGAAGGCAGGAAGGGGAAATGGCACTGATAAATAATTCTAAGTAATTTCTGTGAACCACAGATGTTTAAGTCGAGCTGTATTAATAATTTCATAATTCACAATAGATTAATTTATTATAGTTTACTATCTCCAGCTGTTTTATCAATCAGAGTGTTAAAATTTTATTGAAGATCATTTTTTATTCTCTGAGAATATGTCCAAATTTCTGCTGTCATATTAACCTCTATTGCAGGTCCGCAAAGGAATATTTTATGAAATCTATCTCCTCAATATACTAAGAAATTTCATATATCAAAAAATCAAGTGGCCTTTCAAGACATTTGTACAACACTGTGATATGTTTAAGATACATTTTATATTTTCAATTTATCAATCTGTTTGTCCAGATGTTGGCCAAAAAGAAAGAATCTACTCCTGACAAACTTTTACTTTCTATAGAGACTTCTGTTGGATATACATATTTGTCAACAATCTATCCTCCTTTCCCCATATATGGTCTTCTCTCACATTCTATAAATACAATTTTATTATTATCTTTGCAAAAATATTAAGAGCAGATTATTCAGAATGAATTTATAATCAAGTAAGTTCATTATTCATGTTTGACCCTGACTGTAAACAAATCTAAAAACCAGAAATGCTGTTAAACAACTGATTTTCTATTTTGTTTTAAGTGATTTGATCAAATTGATCTTGTTAATTTTATTGGAAGTTTCCATTGAATCTCTTCTTAGATGAAATGTTATAATAGTCTCTTATCTTTCTCATAAATTTAAAAAATTATTTTTTAAATGGACTGTTTATTAATTCTATCTCTACACATTTCCTTTCTCTGGACTTACCTCTTCGTTATCCCTACTCTCTTCCTCTTCATCTGTTACCGACTGAACTTTGTCTTCCTGAAATTTATATGAAGTCTTTACCCCCAATGTGACTGCACTTGAAGACAGAGCCTTTAGCTCTGTCTAGTTTAGTTAGTTAAGTGAGGTCATGAGTTGAAACCCTAATACCATAGGATTTGTGTCCTTATGAGCAGGAAAGATAACAGATCTCTATCTCTCTGAGTTCACACTGAGAAGAGGCCTTCTGAGGACACAGCCATAGGAGGCCATCTACAAACCAGGAAGAGAGGTCTCAGCAGAAACCAACTCTTGGCACCTTGATCTTGGATGTCCAGCCTTCAAAACTTTGAGAAAATAAACATCTGTGATTTAAGCTACCCAGTCTGTGGCATCTTGTGATAGCAGCCTGAACAAACTAATACACTATCCCAAACAAGCAATCTCCAGCCCCCGTTTAAAACTCTGTGTAAGTGACACCCTGTCCAGAAGCCCTTTCTGTCCCACCCATTTCATTAGCACCACATTAGTAAACTAGATGCCTTTTTAAAATATATATATATATATATATATATATATATATATATATATTATTGATATTTTACAGAGAGGAAGGGAGAGGGAAAGAGAGTTAGAAACATTGATAAGAGAGAAGCAATGATCAGCTGCCTTCTGCACACCCCCTACTGGGGATGTGCCTGCAACCAAGGTACATGCCCTTGACCGGAATCAAACCTGGGACCCTTAAGTCCCAGGCCGACACTCTATCCAGTGAGCCAAACCAGCTAGGGCTAGATGCCTTTTTATATGCTCCTATCTCTCACATTGTTTTAGATTCTGTTGTCCCGAACTGAATTAACAGCTTCTTAAACTTGGAGACTGTTTCCTGCCAATTCAATATTCTTAAGTCTTATTAAGAATGGTGAATGGTAGGATATCAGTAATACATGTTAAAGTACATTTTTCCAGACAAATTATAGTACAGGAAAGACTGGCTACCATAAACACGTTACATAATTTTTATGTGATTAATTTAATTTGAATTAAAATTCCAAAGTGTTATTTTATGTGATAAAATTGTGGTTTTATTCCCCTCAGTGGAGTAAAATATCTGTCAATGAGAGTGTCAACAACCAGTATATATATTACATATAATTATATATCAACTCAGATTTATACAGCCTATACAATAATTATTATCAACTCAATATAGCATTATAAAAATACTAGAGGCCTGATGCATGAAAATTCATACAAGAGTAGGCCTTCCTTCCCCCGCCTGCCAGCACCAGCTTCCCTCCGGCACCCAGGACCCGGGCTTCCCTCCTACAGACACTTGCAGGCACCCGGGACTCGGGCTGGCTTCCCTCCTACCCCAGCTTCATCAGGAAGGATGTCTGGTCTAATTAGCATATTACCCTTTTATTATTATAGATAATAAATTATAAAATGAAAAAGGTAGGGAATGGTTATGCTCATGAATTATTATTAAAAATGTTTACAGATTGAACCATATATGAATATTTAGAGAATAATAGTTATAACATGGTGTTAATATGAGTGTTTTCTACATTTTTAAGATTTTCTGGAAGTTATTATATTTTTGTAATTAAAACATTAAGCTTATTTAAAAACACTAGGAAGCATATGAGTAGCATAGACATAAGTATTAAAGAGTATCCTATTAAAAGGGCCAAATAACGTGGCAGCTAAACACAGACGTGGACAAACTGTATTTCTATCTCATTTTTATGACTTACCAGCTTGGTGACCTGGAAAAAAGTGATTTATATGCCTGAGGTTTACTTTCCTTTTCTTTCAGATCAGAAATGATAGTAACAATAGTGTCCACTGAAGCACTGAGAAGAATACTGGAATGTAATCACTGTTGCTTAAAAGCTAGCTAATGAATTCCTATAGCACATAAGCTCTGAGAGGCTAAGGACTTGCTTAATTCACCAGTATAGATGAGTCCCTGGTACTTGTTAATTTCACAATAAACATTTAGTGACGAGTAAATGAATCAAAGGGAGACTATAGTGAAGCTGATAGAAAAACTTCATAAAAAGCCTAAGAAATTTAAAGAAAAGAAGAATAGGACTATATGTCATGAAAGGCTTTGTAGAATAAATTTTATTATTTGGAAAATGTCTGAGCAGTTAGCTAAAATAATACTTTATGTTTCCTGAAGAAAATTGATCCAATTCTCCTAACGCATAAGTTATTTCTTGAGTGAAATAGATACTTTTTTTTTTCTCTCAGAACCTACAGTGACTCATACCTTGTAATAATTTACTGTCTCTGTTCAAAATGCTTTCCTCGTAGGGGTTAGTCAAGCCTAAGTAGCAATAGCCATGGTAAATAAATAAAGTCAAATTACTGTAAGATGGTGAATGACATTTGATAAGATGCTTCAGTAGTTTGGGAAGAGAAAAAGCAGGACCTGCCTAATGCTTAGAATGCATCTGCTGAAAAAGCTGCATTCCCAGCTTTCAGAATTCCTCTTGCTGCTTCTGCTCAGTGATGTTACTAAAATCGACTGATACCCACACACTCACGGCTTCTCCAGCCTCAGGTCACATCACATTTGCAGTTTGCTGTTTTGAAAACACACTTGGAATACATTCCAGTGTATTGATTATCTCTCACATTTAAATTGAAAAATATAACTGAGTTGGAAGGCAATAAACCAAGTAGCTTGCAGTTTTCGCTATCCTTTTTCCCACCATATGTAGCACAGCAGCTATCTAAACATCTTTAAGATAAAGGAGATTTGGGTGAGGCATTTAGTGAAGTGATAGTAAACTTCCCCCACACATAGGGGAGTATAATATTAGCTTAGATATGTTCTGGGAACAAACTAACCATTATTTAAGAAATAGATGTGAAATAAGTGATTCAGAGAGTCTCCCCTCTCCAACCCACATGAATATATTTGTTTCTCTATTGATAGAAAAAGGTTAGTCATTCAAAAATACAAATCTATGTATGTATGTTTTCATTGAGCATTTACTCGATACCAAAGGGCTGGGAATCTGTTTTCTAAAAACTTACGTTCTTCCCTAGTCAGTTTGGCTCAGTGGATAGAGTGTCAGCGTGCAGACTGAAGGGTCCTGGGTTCAATTCTGGTCATATACGGGCTGGGCTGGTTGGGGCTTGTGTGAGAGGCAACCAATCAGGCAGCCGATCCATCTGTTTCTCTCACATCGATATTTCTCTTTGTCTTTCCCTCTCTCTTCCACTCTCTCTAAAAATCAATGGAAGAATATCCTCAGGTGAGGATTAAAAATAAATAAATTAATTAAAAAAATAAAAGCTATGTTCTAATTGATGGAGATACACTCAAAATGAAATAAGCTAATTTTAGAACATTAAAAAAAGTTAGAAATGAAGCAAAATGGGATAGTGGGATAGAGAATTGCTTGAGAAAGTTCCCATGGTTGCTTTATGCCGGGGTCCAACCCCAGCAGGTCCAGGGGTCCCCAAAGGTGTGGATGGAGTCGGCGAAGAAGGAATGACACGGAGACGGAGTTCAGTTGATCAGCAGCCTAGCCAGGATCTCTAGCCAGGATCTCCAGCCAAGTTCTGGTCTGGATCTCCAGAGAGGTTCTGCTGTTTATTGTCTTGTTACATCCGTATTTATACCAGTTGATTTTAATCCTGTCAATTTCTATTACAAAGGTTAGGGTGTTTCTTATCTCCATTCCAGGGAGTAAAGATTATGTAGCTTAAGCATGATTGTTTGTAGTGATTAACTACCCACCTGGCACTTAGTTAAGGAGTTTCATCCCCTCCCTGACTTCAGGGAAAAATTCCTACCTGGGGAAACAACCTTTCTAGGAGAGGCATCCCCTCCCTGACTTCAGGGAAAAATTCCTACCTGGGGAAACAACCTTTCTAGGAGAGGCATCCCCTCCCTGACTTCAGGGAAAAATTCCTACCTGGGGAAACAACCTTTCTTGGAGAGGTGACCTTGGTTAAAACACACAGCGCTAAGGGGAGCAAACATATTAAGAACAGTATGCTATATACGCCAGGTCCCTTGAAACAGCAAGCATGGACCGGCTCCCGGCAGCTTTAGAGCAAGTGTTCTGAATGATGTTCTTTAGCGTGGTTGTTGTATTTTAAGACATGCCAATACGAAGAAGACACTGCAGGCTTAGAGAAAATATTGTACCAATTATAAAGTGGAGAGTGGCTTGAAGTGTTTGAAGAAATAAAGAAAAAAGAAATGAAGGATAGAAGGAAGAAGGAAGGAAGGAAGGAAGGAAGGAAGGAAGGAAGGAAGGAAGGAAGGAAGGAAGGAAGGAAGGAAGGGGAAGAGAAATAGGGGACAAAAGGAAAAGAAAGAGAGGAAAATGTTAGTGGGATTGAAGAAAACAATGAAGGGCTTTATGGCGGACAGGATGGGCTCAAGTCGGCAGTGAAAAAGTTGTTTGGGTTTTCTTCTAATGGCAATTGATGGCCAGCAGAGCATTTTCTTGAAGGCAGTGCTATTATGTCAGAAAAGTTTTTTAAAAATGTTAAACACCCACACTTAAATACACACACAAGCCCACTGTACTCCAATATCATATGCCTTTGGAAAGTTTAACATAGTATCTGGACACAGAAATGGGACACTGAATCAATCCTCAATGGTGTCAGAGAAATATGTCCAAAGAAACCAAGGTGGGGACTGCATTATGAAACCTTTAATGAGACAAAGGTGTGCAAAGGGGGTAGTTGCACTCCAAATGAACAAGTGGAAAAAGTAACTGAAGCCCATGATTCTTGTCACAGGGACATGGGTTTTAATGATTTATCATCATCTGATACTTATCTGATTTCTGCATTGGAGTAGGTACTTCCTAAAGTCAGAGACTAATCCTTTATCTCTTTACCAGGATACTTGGCTGACCTTACCTAACCACTCTCTCTATAATTGAAATAATCTTCTATTTGATTTCTAGAAGTACTTAACATGTTTGGCAAAACAGAATGTACACTGAGCTAAAAAAGTAATGTGTGTAATTTATTCTTAAAACATTGTATTAAATATCTAACAAACTGAAGCTATA